AGAGAACGACGACAGGGGGAAGGACAAAGACAGACTCCTCTCCGCAGCCTCCAAGGCCAGGAGGACGTGCACGGCCCCAAGTGAGAGGCGACGGGAGGAGACTAGGCTTACCAAAGGGAGCGGGTGCGGAGACGCTGCAGGCAGCGGCGGGCTCCTTGGGCTAACCGGAAGCGGCCACTCCCCTGGGCTCCCTGACTCAGGGCGGGATCACGGAGGAATTGCAGGAGGGCAGGACTAAGCGAGAACCACACAATAGGGGTGACAGGAAAGGTGAAGGACAGGGGAAGAGCACAATCCAAGACTGGGAAAGGAAAGGGGAGGGATTACCTAGGGACTGGAGGAGGATAAAAGGAGGGAAGCCAAGAGAGTTGAGGAGGATTTCAGAGGTGACTGGCTCGGCCAGTGAGAGAGAACCAGAGGCGGCTGTCGACCCCGAGGAAAGGATGGAGGAGAGTGACGGAACTCCCCTATTCTTCCATATCTGAGGCTCTTGCTTCCCTCCAATACCCTCAGCAACCACGGCAAACGGCCCTCCAAAGCTAGGGGGCACCCCCAGATGTGACAGAGATATTGGAGATAAGCACCTTCAATACATTCCTACGTCCCAAATTATCAAACCTTGATAAGAATTTAAAACCTCATCAGAGAACGTGTACTCTGGTTCCTACATATAGCTGAGGGACTGACATTGAGGAATGTTTACAACTAGGGTTACCAACTCTGGGATTGAAAATACTGGAGATTTTTTGTGGTGTAGCCTGAAGGGGGTGGAGTTTGGGGAGGGGAGGGAGCTTAACAGGTATAATACCATTCACATGCTCATCTTCTAACACTGTATATGCCATTAAATGCCAACAATGCCCTTTGGTTCTCTACATAAGCAAACAGGTCAAACCTTATGCCAAAGGATACATTAACACAAACCTGTAGGACTTAGGAGAGACTGAGAAACCTGTAGGAGAACACTTCAACCTTCCAGGGCATTCAGTGGGTGACCTCAAAGTAGCTGTTTTATTGCAAAGGAACTTCAGGAACAGGATGAAAAGAGAAATTCCTGAATTACAAATTATTACAACACTCAGAACAATCTCCCCAGCACTTAACAGGGATATTGGTTTCTTATCTCACTATATGTGCTAAACTCATTCAGTCCTTACATCTGTGTTCTCACAAAGAAGGGCTATATATCCTCTTTATTTTAGTGCATTTCTTATTTGGAATAGTACATTGGAATAGTGATTGTAATGTAATGCAATGAATATTAGAATGTAATGTCATTTAGAATGGTAGATTAAAATGCATTTCTCTAGTCTGGTGACAGAGGAAACATAACACTCCACCTGAAAGAATAGTTAGTTACCTCCATGCTTGAGAGGAGATGTATGGAGTGTAACAATGAGGCCTCAGTTAATTACTCTTAGCATCCCACAATTAAGAAGGATACATTTACACATCAGTCTCCAATTTTGACATATTTATTTGCTTCCCCCCTCCTCAGGAATTAAATCCAAACAAATGGTGACCATATAAATTTAGCTTGTTATTCCTGTTTGGTTCTCGCATCTGTTAAGCTATCTTCATTATGTTGTATGCCGATTTGCTGTTCACCCTCTACCTATATATGCCATTTTAATGTATCTGAGGAAGTGTGCATGCACACAAAAGCTCATACCTTGAATAAAACTTTCTTGGTCTTAAGAGGTGCCACTGGACTCAAGCTTTGTTTATATGTATGTTTGCCATATATGTGGTGGTGTACAGTGTGTGTGTTTGTGTGTGTGTATATATTCATTAGTAAGCATCACAAAAATCAATCTGGGGTAAACTGAAATCAACTACATTTTCTTTTCTTATGTTGATGACTAGAGGGAACCCTGTTTAGTTTTTAACTGCGATTTAACACTGATGTTAATGGGCTTAACTGAAGAAGCAAGAGGAAGGAACAGAATACACACTTTTGTGGTCTTCTGCTGGTTAAAAGGTCCCTTGAGTGGTATTTGCACTGCATCTTGTGGGTCAGGAAGGTCCACTTTGCAGAAGTGGATTTTGATGTAGGGGTTTAGAGGAGGAGAAGGTGCCTTTACTGACAGAAGGGTGAAACAGTTTTTTCGATAAAAGAAATGAGATGTCAGGAAGATTTTATTTATTTCATTATTTATAGTCTACTTTTCTCCCTGGTAGGGATTCAAAGCAGCTTACAATACTTCTTTAAAAATGGGGGCTCCTGATCTAGGTTACAACTTTCAAACTAAGAGCTTAAACTTTCTGGGTACCCCCAGCCTTAAGTACCTGTGAGCAAATTCAGCCATATTTTGCTAGCCAGCTAGCAAGCTCCTCCCTTTTCCTTATTTGGAAAAAGTAAATGAAAAATAGGAGCAAGAAGATGAGATGTGGTTGGAGAGGTCAGAAGCTTTTCGTATTGTTAGGGAAGAAAATGTCATGCTAGTCGAATAGCACAGCTGTTGTATATAGCAGCTACTAACTGACATAACTAGTACAGTGTCGCTGATACGACTAGGAATATATGGGAATAGTTGCTGGCCTTGATCAAAGAAGAAGAAGAGATTGGATTTATACCCTGCCCTTCACTCGGAGTCTCAGAGCGGCTTACAAACTCCTTTCCCTTCCCCTCCCCACAGTAGACACCCTCTGAGGTAGGTGAGGCTGAGAGAGCTCTTTCCAGCACTGTCCTTGAGAGAACAGCTTGGACAGAACTATGGCTTGCCCAAGGTCATCCAGCAGGTGCAAGTGGAGGAGTGGGGAATCAAACCCAGTTCTCCCAGATTTGAGTCCGTGCATTTAACCACTACACCAAAGAGATCATGGAGGATGTTTCTGCAAGCCAGAAACAGAGCTGGGCTAGTCTCTCAGTTAAATATGCCCAGTGGGGAATTTAGAGATCCAGAACAGGATAGCCTTGGTAAGGGGTATAAACAAAGGAATAACACAATAACATGGCCTTTCATAGGTTAGAAATGGTCTAACCCATATCAAAGGATAATATGGGTTAGGGGGTCCATGTGCAAGAAATGTATATGGCAAGGACATACAGTTCAGATACAGTTCAAATGTAGGGTGTATTGATTGAGGGCCAACAGAGAATCATATTTTGAGAAATGTGTAATGTTATTTTAAAATCTACTTTGTTATAATAAAAAGTAGCAAGAATGAACTAACAGTTTTAATATATTTTAAGAAGGTATTCAAGTATAGATATCTTCATGCGAACTTTGGAATTATAAGATAGTCAGCCAAGTATGTGTGTCCTTATCAAGTGGGACAGTTAGCTGTTAGGAAATTATTTTAAAAACCTATAAATATTGATAAGGAGCCTCTTCATGGGAGAGGTTCCTTGCTTGTGACCTGCTTATCTTTGGGTAAGATATTTTAATGGGCTTGTGTAATTGATCTAATTTAATTATCTATGTAGCACGTAATGGATGGTATAATTTTCTTTTAAGATGCAAGTCGTTATGTTGTACTAAATAGTATTACTTCTGTACTTTACTCATACAGAACTAAAAATGTTGAGGTGTACCTCTTGCCAGGAATTAAATGATCCGATATAACAAAGCTAGCTAGACACCTAGGGCCTCTTGACTGCTTGCCCATATCTAAATAGGACTGACCAGAGTAATGCAGAACAAGAAAAGGATTGACTCTTTCACCATGAAATTGCCATAATTTGTTGAAGGCACTTCACAACTGTAAGGGTTTTAATTTAAACTGTGTGTTTATTAGTATGAAAGTCAATTTATTATTGTCCTGGAAAAGGGTGCCATTTTATAAGCTTAAGCATTATGTTAGTAGTTTTGTGTAAACTTGATTGCTGAAAATATTGAACGACATACCCACTGCTAATGCAGTTTCTCTAACTAATTTGAAGCCGATGTCCGAGTTTTATTTTTTGAATGTTTTGTGAGAATTTCCTTGAGTAAAAACAACTGTGTAAATCAAAGTCTAAGATAATGAGTATTAGAAAATCATAATTATTTATTTTCTGTTTTGCTCAATCATTGACTCCAATAAGTTTATGTTTTCATTGGGATTTAGTCACAGCTGATTTTAGTTTGATTGGTGCCTGTGGCGGAATGGGCCCGCGTCAGCTGGCAGGCCCCGCTCTGCCCACCCCTCCTTTGCCTGACCTGGCACTGAAGGGGCAGTTTTTCACCACTGCCTCCGGGTTTTGCTGCCACCACTGTCCCTGTCTTGGGCTCTGGTTAGGCGGGACAGCCTCCTAACTTCCCTCTGATGTCGCTAGGAACCCACCTTGGCGCTTCCTGGCAATCTTCAGGGCTCCCCTGGAGATTTGGCAACTGGCCGTTTAGTCCCCAACCCACTCCTAGCGTGTCCAAGCGGCTGGGGGAACTATACAGTACAGAGTTCTGCATAGGATTTATTTTGAAACCACTCAACTATATACAGGCATATTAACAGTGAACTGAAGAATCAAAATAATGGTGACAAAATTGCTCCATCTCTTCGTTCTCTACACGTACCCTGTCTAGATGGTCTGCAGGGCAGGCACATGACTTGCTTTCACTGGAGAAGGTTAGATTAGCACAACTCCCAACATGGCCTCTGCCTCCTGCAGACTCCAGCCAACAGCCTGACTGGCTCCAGACTTCTGACAGACTGACCTAATTCTGATAGACTGGCTTCCCGCCCAAAAGCTCCACTATATCAAACAGCCCTTCCCGCCCAGGAAGTGGCTCTCCCTCTTGCAGCATTCTGGGGCAGATCTCCTCACAACCTTGATGGACTTCCTGTCCTCTCTAGGGAGCTGCCCTCAGACTACTGGTTGGAGACAGGAGGGGGGAGGAATGAGGAGGAGACTAGGCCAAGGCCTACCTCAGGTTTGATGGTCCCCTCCTATCTGGCCCACACCAACTTAAACATATACATAAAATGGTGTTTCTCCACAGTGCCCTTAGACTAAGTATGAAGCATTCAAAAAGGCTGTTTACCATTGTTTTGTTTTGTTTTGTTTTGTTTTGAAGAATCTCGGCCTTTATCAGTTCCAGTGAAAGCTATGCTGAGCTCTTCTGAAAGCTGCAGCAAAAGTCCTGAGGAAAGAATGAAAGAATTTATTGGAGTAGTGTGGAATGCAGTCAAGCGCCTTACACTTCAGGTAAGATGTCCAACATTTGATAAGTGCATTGACTTACTTTCCCTTACTTTCCCTTCCTGGCAACTACCCCCTCCCACCTATGTGTAATGTTTGAAGAAATCTGTTTCAATGTATCTGAAGGAGTGTGCATCTACACATGCTAAGTCTCTCTCACTCTCTCTCTGTTTTTTGAAAAAAATTATTATCAGGATATAATATCATTCCAACATAATAGCATATTCAATACTTTTATCCCCTTTTCCCCTTTCCCCTCCCTCCTTTGCTTCCCGCAGTGCTTCCACCCCCTTACCATATTTTATATTTCATTGTCTTATTACATCTTCTTAAAATTAACATTACCAGGTAACCTTCTTTTAAACTGTTTTCACTATATAACGGCTACTTCAGAGTTTTTTTTTTCTTAATAATTATCAAAACAAAAACAATGTATTCTTCAGATCCCAGTACTTTTCCAAGTACTCCTTGAAGTCTTTCCAGTCCTCGAAAAAATTTTCGGCCTCTTGGTTGTTAAGTTTTCTTGTCAATTTGTCCATTTCTACCATTAAAAGTAACTTTTTTTATCCATTCCCAAATCTCTGGAGTCTTTTCTTGTTTCCAACATTGGGCATAAGTCATTCTGGCCATATAGAACAGATAAAAAAGAGTATGGGTTTAGGGCAAAAAATAATGAAATTGAATGTCTGTGGTTGGAAAAAGGTAAAAAAATGATTTCTAAAATTTATAAAGTATTGTTAAAATGGTATACTGAAGATGAAACGGTAAAGGAACAAATGATAAAGTGGGCAGTTAATATGAACAAAGAAATAACTATGTCATCTTGGGAATTTTTGTGGGAAAATGCAATGAAAATTTCAACATGTAATAATTTGAAAGAAAATTGCTATAAAATGATGTATAAATGGTACATGACGCCAAAAAGATAGCAAATATTAGCTGTAACATGTCTAACAAATGCTGGAAGTGTAAGAAAATTGAAGGTTCTTTTTATCATATGTGGTGGATGTGTGAGAAAGCAGAAAAATTTTGGACAGAGGTTCATAATGAAATGGAGAAAATTCTGAAATGTACTTTTAAGAAGGAACCAGAAATACTACTTTTAGGTCTAAAAATGGAAGAGGTGAATATAAGAAAGAGGACTTTGATGTGGTATTTGATCACATGCTAAGTCTCTCAGTTCTCGCTTATACCCAGTTCTCACATCTTTGTTAACTCTTGTATTTGTATGCTAATTTACTGCTATTCACAGATCTTCCAAACACCTTAATCCAATCGCAGCTATAATTGCCCAGTTAGTTATGCATTTTGACTCTAAGTAGCCCTCCCTGGCAACTAACCTGTCCCCCCCCCAATATGTACTGGTTGAAGAAGCTTTGTTTCACTGTATTTGAGGAATTGTGCATGCACACGAAGCCTAATACCTTGAATAAAACACTGGACTCGAACATTTTTCAATTCATCTGAGACACTGTCTTTAGGACTGGAATGGCCACCAAAAAACCTGTGAAGGAGCAGAAGTGGAGTGAATATCTTCCAGAGAGGGAACAACTACTAAATGACAAGCCGGCAGGGTGCCTGGTAGGCACTCACCTCCCCCATATATACATTGTGGCCCTAGCTAGGAAGTATAATATGCCTATGTAAACCGCTCAGAGCCTCCGGGATTGAGCGGTATAGAAATCGAATTAATAAATAAATATAAATATAAATGCTGCTATGCAAGCCACAGATCCCATATAGACTCATACTAGGAGTGGCAGTAGAGTTGCCAGCTCCCCTCGTTGCTCTTATGGAGGGATTGGGGGGTATTCCAGGGTGAGTGGGGACATTGTGTGATGTCCCCAATGTGATGACATCACCTGGAAGTGATGTCATCATGCCAGGGGTGTCGCATAATGGTATTTGCACAGTGTGAAAGGATGCAACACAGGCTCCCTAGGGTCAGTGTTTGTCTAGCCAGATTAGGGAATTTAATGACAGTTAAGCTATTAATCAACAAAGGTAGAACATAGTTTGAGTCCAGTGACACCTTTAAGACCAACAAAGTTAAAGGTGCTCTTAAAAGTGCCACTGGACTCAAACTTTGTTCTGTTGTTTCAGACCAACACAACTACCCACCTGAATCAATCAAGAAAGGTGTTAACCATAGTTCAGCATAACTGGGTTTCTGAGACCCCCTTTAAAAGATGATTTTGGATGCTGGCTTAAGGGAGACTCTGGCCCCGGTCATATGAGCGGGAAAATTCACACTGGAAGGGAGACATTTTAGAGGCGGAGCTAAAAGAAGCACGGGAGCACGATCTTACGCTCCCCCACAGCTCCATTTTCCCTCTGTCGGCACGTGATCACACTGGGGAGGCAACGGCGTAGTCCCAGCGAGGCAACACGGTGGTCCCGCGTTAGTGCGCATGCGCGGGTCGCGGACGGCTGCAGGATGCTACGGGCTGCCGGCGTGTCCGCGATCCCATGGCCGCCGTTGTTGTGGATCTTCCAGTAGGTACTCCATTTTCCCTAGTACCTTTTCGATCCGCATTTTCAGCCGGATGCGATGGGTTAGGGGTGGGTGCGCAACGCTTGCCAGATGTTGGCATCTGATCGCGCCGGTTTGATCCGCCCTTAATCCGTCCCCTCCGCTTACCTAATTCTCCATGTGACCGGGGCCTCTGATTAGCTTTAACTGCAGTTATAGTTCCCACTGATACTACTACGCTGCATAACCTCTGTTGAATGGGTTTTTTGCTGAGGCTAAAGTGGGGGGGGGGCAGCTGTAGGGAGAATATCTATATTTTCATAGCTATCTCCAGTTTGCTGTTCTTGCCGGGCAGCCAGTATCACATCTCCACCATCCCTTTATATAACATGCATTCTATTTCAAAAATGGGCATAACATTCTTCAAGTTCTATTGTCGGTTCCTAAATATAGAAATGCAAACCTGAAACTACTTAAAAGCTTTGTCTGTCCATTGTAGTCAGTGAGATGTATGCAGGTCTCATAGAAAGTTCTATAACTGGTCTAAAGTCTCTAAAATCTACTTTGGCACAAGTGTTTGGTTATGGTGACTGACAGGACATAGATATCTTTGGAGGACAAATGTAGCCTTAAAAAATCCTGAGTTGTCAAGAGATAAATCAGATCTTCTTCATAACTCAAAATCATGAAAGGATTAACTCTTTTTATTTGAAGTTTGTGTTTAGAACAAAAACACCTGGAAAGTGTATTTTTGGAACTAAGGATGATATTTACTTAGCCTTGACCCCTTTTGCTCATAATAGTATTGTGCATAACAGCTCAGTTAACGGGGTTTTCTGTAAGCTGTTATGATGTCAATGAAAAACACTTCCATACTAAAGTGTAAAAGACTTTTCTTTTCCCTTCTGTAGTCGTTGAAGGGTTCAGTGTAAGCTTTGCAAAGTGCCTTTTGGCAACTGTAATGCGGGGGAGGGAAGCATTCACTTTTCATGTGTTCCTGGTACTAATAGTTGCTAAAAATCATGAAGAAACATAAACACAATTATTTTTAATTGGTTGTTAATGCTTAGTTTCAACAAGAATAACAAGACATCCATATTTCAACCAAATGAGTAAATCATGAGTAATAATACATTGCGCACCAACCAAATAAGTTTCAGATAAATACACTTTGTTCAGATGTTGTAACTGGCTATCCTGGTACCCTTCAACAAATCTTAAGCGTTCTCTTGCTTGCATCTTGCATTTGTTGGTCTTCTTGCTTCCTGTTTTTATAGGATTTAGATTCCTGTTCTCTCCTGCTTGTGACTCTTCAAGTATGAATGCATGAACTAAGCAGGCATCTAGGATCCAAGAACACAAACCTGTGTGCACAAAAGGTTACTTGTTGCTTCACCTTTTGGTCCCTTTCTTTGATTCTTCCTTGCATTCTCCCCTGCTTCCATTGTCTGATCTCCTTTTTATCCCTTTGATGTGCTTAACCATTTGATGTCTCATTCCTCTCTCTGCAATATGTTGCTCACATTCCATTCTAAATCAATCTTACTGCTCTTAATCTGGCCTGTGAAATTCCACCTGATTGGACACTGTATCCAATCAGTATTTTATTTATTCAGTGTATTTATGTCTTGCTCTGACCCGGCTAGTATTCGGATATCATCAAATCTAGGAAGCTAAGCAGGGTTGGCCCTAGCTAGTATTTGGATGGGATACCTCCAAGGAATAGCAGGGTTGTGATGCAAAGGCAGGCAATGGCAAACCCCACAGGGTCACCATAAGTCAGCTGTGACTTGACAGCACTTTCCACCTTTATTTATGCCATACGTTTCTGCCAAGATTGGCTTCCAGTGCAATAGTCACATCATTTACTATATAAGATTATAAAAGGCATTTATGAGAAATAGAGGGCATGTTTACTGTTTGGTTTCTTTGTCTACCTACCCCTAATACCCTGCTTGGTTAGCTTATTCCTTCTACGTGCTAATGCTGAACCTTCAAAAGTAAAAACACCATCAGCATTCCAATGACTATAGAGAGAAGAGTAGCCCTATACTTTATTCATGATAAAAGATGTTCCAGCTAGTTCTACAGCATCTGTTAGGCCCTGGTGAAATACTGTGAAGCTGGAGGTGAGCACACACATGGTGGGACATATGAACAGTTGGTCCACCACTCTCATCCCTACCCTGTAGCTGCTGGCATCTGCTAACTGCTGGGCTCTATAGGATCCCTGACCAATAATAGTGGCATATCTTCTTGAAGCATCAGTCAACAAAAATAAACTGAGCAGCACAGAGGACCATCCTCATGAAGGGTTTGTTAGCTTTTAGGGTCTTGTGGAACACAAAGAATCTGATGCCCTCAGATAGTCCAGAGAGACTGTTTGGCTCAAAGCTTGCAGTTTCATCCCTACTGTCTAGCTGCTGTTAAATATCTTATTTGTATTAAATAATATATTGTATCCAGGGGTCATTTTGTAGAAAAAGAGGTGCAGGAGCTCATTAGCATAAGTTATTTGCATAAGTTATTTGCA